TATATATAAATATATATTAAAAAAAACAGCAATTGCCAACCAGCAGAGAACATAGCAGCCTGGCAGCCAGGATGAAATGGCTGCCCCGGACAATGACCAGACACTGGAGGGGGTGTGCCAGGCTACTAGAATGGAAGGAAGAACTGGAGACCGTCAATTCTGAAGGGCTTAAGACAACTTGGCACTTGCCTGTACTGGTAATGGGCCAAGCAGAATTTGCCCTAAAGAAAAAGCTACTCACTCTGGGTTTTTCTCTACTGCAGCCTTAAGCTGTTAACTCCTGTGTGTTATTGGAATGAAGGCAGTTTAAGAAATCCCTTTCTAAATCTCAACCTCTCCCTCCAGTTTGTCCATGATGATTTGCTGATATTCTGTGTAAGCAATGTTTACCATGGCCTTACTAGTGAATCCCCATTCTTTACTCCTCCTGGGCCAGTTAAAAAAATGATACATTTTTAAATTGCACTCACACTGTGAGTATGCACTCACACTGGAACTTACATTCACACTGGGGGCCAACTGGTCATGCTCCAAGTATTTACACACTTCAGCTGGTTGAGAATGCTATATCCATGCTATATTGTTTAGAAAGAGGCCTATCCATCTTTCTAATTTCTGTGTATGTTATTTATGATTTTCAGAAGTTCATTAAATTTTTGGTAATCACATTGACTTCATCTGCTGTATTCCATTTTTTTTTTGTTCATTATATGTTTGTTTATTGAACAGGCTGCTCCAGTCAACCATTCCTGAATGGTGTACCACTCTCCAAATCCATAATTTGGGATTAAAACAGATGGATACATAGTACATTTCTGAAACTAAAACCATGCATTGTCAATAATTATATAAAAGTCAGGAATCAATATTCAAAGCACAATAAAACTAATTGGGTTTTTTTCACTGTGCTCTAGGTATCTTTTAGGAACTCCTATCCAACTCCCTAGCAAATCATGTATTCTGTCCACATAGCTGGAATGCTATTACCATTGCATGGATAATCATTATAGTACTCATTAAAACCACACATTTTAATTGTAAACCTCAACTTGTAAAGAAAACAAAATTAACAAACTTATCACAGAAAGCAAGCATTTCAAAATGAATAGTGTATATGTATGATTAATATGCAATAAACATTATAAGCTACTCAAAAGACAAACGGTTGTCTGCCAGCATAGTTTTAGAAGCCAAAATACATTTGAGTCTAATTTCCGTAAATACTACCAGTCATAAATTAACCTCAAATCATGGGGACAGAAGCTTTTCAGCCACCTGATCAGAGTCTTCTAGGCCGTAACCTTTAATTCACCTCCTCAGCTACTCTTTTTAGAAGATGGAAAGGGAGTAAAACTGAAAGGGTCAAGAGCTGGGATTTATGTATTTAATTAGCTTCCACCTTTTCTTCTTTAGTTTGGGGAATTAGGAATCAAGGAGATTTGTTTACAAAACTAATCAAGTTTGCCCCCCCCAAGAGTGCAGTTCTCATTATGATGTCATTTTGTCTTAATTGAGGCTTTTTTGATGTTTAACCGAATACTGTATTTACATAAAACATGTACTGAAACATGTACTGAACATGTACTGAACTTCCAACCCTGTGCATCAGCCTACTTACTACCTTGGGGAAAGGTGGAAACAGCGCTCCTAGCGGCCTTTTCGGGAAGACTGAAGATGGAGGTTAGTTTCAACTCGCTTACAATTTAATCAAGTTTTTAAAAACCACCGTATTCAATTTTTCTCTTTCACGCGCGTAGCGGTTTTGGAAAATGGCCGTCACTTCCTTGTCAAGTTGGGTTCATTTATCCTATTGCGATCATCCAGGCAAGCGTGATTTTTACTCAGAGGAGGACATCTGGATCCTGCTGCGCATTCCAAAATGAGCGATACAATCCTTTACGAGCTCAGCTCCAGAGCACGAAGGGGAGACGAAGAGACTCCTTCCGTAATTCGGACTACCATATCTGGGTTGCGTTATCCGGACGACCGCTAAAGTGCAGCAAAGAGCACTATTTCCTAGCATCTAATGGCTGGATTTTTACAGCCCAGATATTGTAGGTCTGTCACAAATGTCTATGCTTTGGGGTCAGGGAGATTTTTTACGCTGCTGCTCCTGCCATCGCCGTCGCACATTTATCACCGGGAAACGCGGCGCGGCTGCTGCGCTCTGGCGGCCAGACTGGCGGAGAGACCCGGGCCTCCCGGGAGCAGCGTGGAAAGCAGCTCGCGCACAAGCAGGTGCACGGTCCGCGTTCTCATTGGC